TGTTGTGAGACAGCTGGAATTTCTGCCCCCAGCTGGGACCACTGGGAACCAACCCAGAGGCTGTTTCCCACTCTCCGCTCCCAGCAGAGCAGCCTGCGGGCTTAGGTGCGGCGCTCGCACAAACAGGCCGGGCTGGCTTCTCGTCCACCACGCGCGGTCCTCCGCGCATCCTGCAGCCCCAGCGCCAAGGCACCCTGGTGGTGCAGCAGGAAAAACCGCCACCCAGATGCGAGCCCAGGCGCCGTGTCCGTGTGGCCAAGGCCACAGCACCCTCATCTGGGATTTGGGATGAGGACGCGTGGGATACAGCTGGAGATGCGCAGAGCATCTCTGCAGCCCAGACCCGGCCCGGAGCCTCAGGCCCGGCCGCTACCTGATGTCTCCCTGTGAAAACCCGAGGAGTGGGTCACCACAACGTACCTACGAGGACCTCTGGATCCTCCTGCAGCCCCTTCACCTGCCCAGGCCGGTGCTTCTGTGAAGTTAGAGGTCAGGTTAGCGGACGTGTGCTGGCAGCTGCGGCAAATAAATGACCAGCATCGCGCACCCCGGGCTTGCTTCCCCGTCGTGCCCTCCCGTTCAGGCTGGGCGCTCGCAGGGAAAATGCTCCTCCACATGTTTGCCGGGGGCTCCGTCCCTGGTGTGGAGCTGCGTCCTGCCGACTGGGCTTCTTCCTGCAAAGGCCGGAGAGGTGCACAGTGGGCAACCGGCCCAGCTGGCCTAACCTGGCCGGAAATGACAGATGTGACCCATCCACAATCCAGCACCCATAAGGCAGGCCCTGCCTGGGCACGGAGTGTGAGTGGAACACAGGCCTGCAGGCCCCGCCTGGCCATGGAATGTGGCTGGAACAAGGCCTGCCTCTGAGGTGCCTTGAGGCTTGTCCCCTTAATAACCACATAATGTAACATACCAGTCAATTCCACAGGATTTTCTCCAAGATGCGTCTTGAACATCTGCATTTCTCCCCACATTCTCTGCCCCTGCACTTGCCCAGTGTCCCCTCCTTCACTCTGCCATTTTGCTGACTTTCCTTTCTTTACAGAAGACATCATGCAGTGGTCCTCAGCTGGAGGCATCGTGCCCCCAGGGGACACTGGATAGGCCTCGATCAGTTGTCATTGTAACTAAAGAGGAAGTGCCCACTCCCAGTGCGGGGAGGGCAGAGATACAGAGAGCAGCACCTCCCGCATCCACAGGCCTGGCAGGTATCCTGGCCAACACAACAGCCAGGGTTCAAGGGGCAGCCCCTGGGCTAGCTCATTTTCTCACAACACCTCCCAGTGACTTCTTATTGCTTAAAGAATAAAATCTGCAATCTTTTCTCGGGTCTACAAGCCCCTGCCTTGTGGGATTCTCCCACTCCAACTTTGTTGACCTCCCTGCCATGCATGAGGTGCTGTCTAGTTGATGCAGCTTTCTCAGGCGGCATGTGGCTGGATAGGATTCAGAACCTCTGGGTCTGCCAAGACCTCTGCCTGGAGAGCCTGTCTGCTTCTGGGCCCTCACCATCTGCACAGCCCTGCTTGCACCTTCCGGTCCGAGCTGCCTTCCTCCTGCTTCAGTGCTTTGTGTCCTGGTCATTTCCTTTGCAGCATTTAGGCCAAGCAGAATCATCTGCTTGATTTATTTGTTTACTTGAGTTACGCTGGTGATCAAGTTCAGCTGCTGATTTCCCAAAGAAGAGTGGATTATTACAATAGAAACCCCAGGAACAGTCGCTTCTATGAAAACGCATTTTTCACTCATAAACCTGGCGGTGGGAGTGTCTGGCTGGCTTGGCAGCCCCACGTTTCTGCTGCACTGGGCCCTGTGCACACGTCCTCATGGAGGCTGCTGGAGCTCCTGCCATTGTTTATTCATTCAAGCAGTAGCAAGAGACAAGGTCCAAGAGCAAAGTGGTGCCTGCTGGTTGGGTTTGTCCCCCTTTTAAGAGAGTCTGTAGCAATCCCACCCCAAAACTTCCACCTACCCCTCTATTGCCAGAGTAAGACATGGGCTATTCCTGTCTGCAACAGGGGCTGAGAAAGACAAGTTTTCAGATGTGCAAATTGCTGCCTGGGAAATAGCAAACACAGACCTTATTAGTGAGAAAAAAGAAAATGGCCACAAATTGTTTTTGTCTGGATTTCTGTCTGAAATTTATGCTCTCGGAAGAGAGAGTTCGAATTGCTCCCCCCTAGATCTCTGGCACTTCCCACAGCGTCTGGAACATGCCAAATTCTCAATGAAGCTTTGTTAGAGTCGAAAGGAGATTTCTCATCTGCCCTGTGGGTTTTCCACTTAAGACTCCAATATAGCCTCAGAATTCTCTGCACACAGGCAGTCGGACTTGGCCCTAGGGATTGCGATTTTTTCACCATATTTGCTGTTGTTGGTTTTTTAAAAAGCACATCTGGGGCAGTGAAGTGGCACCAGAAGCTTTGCCAGTGGCTAGAGCAGCAAGGACCTCCCAGCTGCTCTGTGCAGGGGCCTCGCAGGTGCAGGACAGAGGGTCTTTGAAAGCACCTTTCACTCCCACCCCTGAGAGAGGCGTCATTAGGCTGACTGTTCACTGAAGGGTCCCTGCTGGACAGACTTTAGCAAGTGAACTTCCAGTAGGTTTGTGTTTTCAGATTGACATGGGTTTAGGCATTCTGGTTCAATTGTCTTATACATGTTTTTGGAGCTGGTTCAACTTGATGCTGCGGTCAGAGGGACAGCCCCTTATTGCCTGGGCCCCTCCCCTGGGAAGGTGCTTGGCACTTCCTGGCCTTCTCTGGACCCTGGGCTTCTGAGCTCTCCCCTCTGAGCCACGCTGCTGTCTACTCTCACGATATCTGTGGTCTGTGCCCCTCCTGCAGGACTATTCTGAGATTTGCAGTTTGCATCAGCATAGACCCAGCAGTTACAGTCACACTGGGTGTCTAAATGGGACCCACTGGGTACCTGCTCCTGGGCCCTGCGTGGTCTGTCTGCTCCACCACAGACACGCCGCTCCCCGGCGCTGAAGACCAATGCATCTGCACACACAGGTTACAGGCAGAGGCTCCGTTCAGTCGAGGAAGGGCTGGGCAGCTCTGCCCAGGTTTGCATAGGCCTGGGGCACTGGGTGGGGGAATTTGTGGTGTGACCTGGCTCTGCCACCCACCACGCTGCTTCCTCCACACCCCAGGGCTGCTGGTGATAAGGGGTCCAGCCTTGGCCTTGTGGCCCTGAGAGTAACATCTGCAGCGGTATGTGTGTTAATCTGCTGGAGCCGCCGTGACAAAACACCACAGGCTTTGGACCGAACCACAGGCGTTTACTTCCTCGCAGTTCTGAAGGTGGGAAGTCCAGGACTAGGGCCTGGCCGGGCGGGTCCTCCTGGGCGTCTCTGTGGGCTGCGGGCTGCGGGCTGCGGGCTGCGGGCTGCGGGCTGCGGGCTGCGGGCTGCGGGTGGGGCCCTCCCCCGTGTCCTCATGTGGACCCCTCTGTGCCTGCCTGATGCCCCTCTGTGTGCCCTCCTCTCATGGGCCGTCTCCAAGTACAGTCAAGCTCCGAGGGGACCCGAGGCCAGAGTGCAGCCCATGGTGCTGAGCAAGGCTGGAGCTGGAGGTGTCAGGGACATGGGTGTGGGGGACACGGGTGTGGGTGATAGGGAAACAGCCTGAGCCTCTTCAAGGCCCTGTTCAGCTCTCATGTCCAGGAGCCAAGTGGAGCCCAGGATGGCTTCTGGCCAGTGAAGACCTGTGCGGGGGGAATGGGCGGTGTTGCCCAGGCCCCGGGGTGGCAGCCCTTCTTGGAGGGCTTTGGGGAGCATTCTTGGCCCAGGGTTTCAGGCTGAGGATCCGGTGGGGGCCGTGGAAGGCTTGCGAAGGACTGAGTTGTCCTTTTGAGAGGTGGGGCCCTGCCCTCACCCAGAGCTGCGCTCGCCCATTCATTGTGTGAAAATGAAAGTTCCTGTGAGGAAAATCCATGAGCACAGGGCACAGACTGATAGGGACAGAGGGACAGAGTGGAGACAGAGGGACAGAGCAGGGACAGAGGGACAGAGTGGGAACAGAGGGACAGGGCAGGGATAGAGGAACAGGGCGGGGACAGGGTGGGGACAGACAGAGGGACAGGGGAACAGAGGGATGGGGACAGAGGGATGCAGGACAGAGAGATAGCACAGGGACATAGGGACAGAGTGATAGGGCAGGGACAGAGGGACAGGGCCAGGACAGAGGGACAGGGTGGGGACAGACAGAGGGACAGGGCTAGGACAGAGGGACAGGGTGGGGACAGAGGGACATGATGGGGACAGAGGGACAAGGCAGGAGGACAGAGGGACAGGGTGGGGACAGGGACAGGGACAGAGGGACAGGGACAGAGGGACAGAGGGACAAAGGGACAGCGCAGGAGGAGAGAGGGACAGGGCTGGGACAGAAGGACAGAGTGGGGACAGAGGGACAAGGCAGGGACAGAGGAACAGGATGGGGGACAGAGGGACAGAGGGACAGAAGGACAGGGTGGCAGGACAGAGGGACAGGGCGGGGACAGGGTCAGGGCGGGAGGACAGAGTAACAGGCTCTCCATGGCCACTGACAAGAGCTGCTGCAGGCGGTGCTGCCTCCACATCTGTGTGGGAGCCCAGCCCATTAGGATAAAAGTTGCACCTTCAGGACGTAGCTCTAGGATTCCCTGGGGGCGGGCTCTCCCTGTTCCAGTGTGTCTCCCGGCCCAGTCTCCCGACCTGGTCTCCCCACCCAGTCTGCCCGGTCTCTGCAGTGCAGGTTCCAGGGAAGTCCCTGTGGGTGGGGCCAGGGGTGGGGGTGCTGGCCTGGATAGGAATCTGGGCGGGGAGGGCAGCCTGCAGGGCAGAGATGACCACAGGGAGGGCCGGCCTCGCCCTCTGCCAAGTTCCACCTCCACATTCCTCCTCCTTGTCTTCCACTCCCAGTCCTGACGTCTCAGCTTTCCAGGGAGAAGTGGAGAGGCCAGGAGCCGGGCTGCAGCCAGGGCACAGCCAGATGGACTGAAGTGCCCCGCAAGTAAGGGGGTGGGGGAGGAGCTGGGTGTCATCGCAGGCACTTTGATAGCTTGGGGGGCCTGGTCTTCCTCTTCCGGAACTTGTCCGTGAAGGTAATGAGCTAAGGAGCGTCTTCTTGATTGCAGGCCAGTAGGCAGAAAGGTTCTCTAACAAACACCTGCGGCGTGCCCAGCCTCCACATTTGCAGGGAGTGGGGCTCCTCACCTCCCCGGGACAGCCAGGCTCATCCTAGGGACAGGTGAGGCTGAGCCAGTCCTTTATGCAGAGGACCTGGGGCCAGAAAGGGATGGCTTTCACCCAAGTCTCTGTGCAACTGCTGAGGTCCAAGGTGATTACTTCCTGAGAAGTGCTCTCAACTCACCTAAAGGGTCACCAAGGCAGGAGGACTCAGGCATGGGTGAGAATCAGCCTGTGTGGATCAGCCCTGGGTTGAACCTTTGCATGTAGCTTGGCGGACTCTGCACCGACGCATGGAGAGTTGGCAGCTCCCTCTTCATCTGAAGGGCTGGGGAGGCACAGTTGCGCACCTCCCTGTGGTTACTTGCACCTCCAGGTGTCCAGGGATCTTCCCTCGGACCCCAAGCTCAAGGGGCAGAGCTTTGCCGTGGAGCACACAGTGGAACCTGGGGGAATGAGACGTGACAAGCTGTCTGGTGGAGCAGCCATGGGATGTGCATCCTCCCGGGAGGATGGGCTTGAATGCCCCTGTGACGTGGAGCTCACTCCTCTGGAGGATTTCTGTTCCTCCAGAACAGAACATTTAAAAAATTGTTTCAAAAAATATTTTTCCATTACTTCCATTCCTTGGATGACCTGCGCATTTCCCCATAGGATACACCGAACACGTTCGAATCGGGAACATGGCTCTGGCTGTGGTTCATGGGCTTCCAGGGACCATCTTAGAGGTGTCTATGCCCGTTTCTCTGAGAAAAGCTCCCGTAGACATAACTGGGCTCTGGGTGACTCCTTGATCACAGGCTCAGTCCTATGTAGAGGAAAAGCCGGAAGACAGGCACCCGCCCCCTCAGCCTGCAGATGGCCGCCCACAGCCCTCGAGAGTGGCCGTCCTCTCCTGTCTGCCACTGCCTTGGGCTGATGCTCTCAGGCAGCCCCACGGTCTCTCCTTGGGGCTTGGTTGGGCTCGGCTCCCTCCTCAACTCTGGTCCAGTAGGAGATGACCATGGTCAAGGACACACACGCTCCCCAGGGTGGAGGGCTGGAGTCCCAAAGCAGGAATGCTATGTTTTGTTGTTTACTCTAAAGAGCCCCGGAGATTCATTAGGAAACAGGGCATGTGCTCCTGGGACATTTGCAAAATCAAATTTGAAAAAAAAAAAATTTATATCTATATATATATACACACACACACACATACACACACATACATATACACATGTTCACTGGGGTGTGAGATTAAAACTTGGCGGCAAAAATATAACCTAGGTTTAGCCTAGCAAAAAAAGAGTCAATCTGAGGCCAAAAATCACTCCTTGGGCATCCTGAGGCATTCCACACCAAAGCCTGGACCAGAGGGCAAGGAGGCCAAGAGGAGGCTATGCCCCAGCGTCCGGGGTGGGAAGAGGGGTCCCCAAGGCGCTGAGTCAGATGGGGTCCAAGGTGCTGCTGATTCAGAGGTGAATGAGACAGGCACGCTTGCAGCTGGTGGAGGTCAGCACCCGAGCAAGCAAATAAATAAATATAAATTATAGTAGACAGCAGCTCAGGTATTTAAAGTTGACCAGCTTTTGAAACTTTTCTGGCGCCTATGCTGAGCTCTGATGGATGGAAAAGGGGCTGGTTCTCGAGCACAGGCCCTATGAAGGCTCAGAAGCTGGGAATACAGAAGCCTCTATTCGGGCCAGGGAGGTGTTTACAGACCAGGCTGGTTTTAGGAAAATGCTCCCATTCCTTAAGAAAATTTGGAGCAGATGATCTCAGGGAACGGTTGCTGGGCCTGGGAACGCATTGTGTAGTGTTTTTTAACAGCCAGGACAGAAGACAGCAACAGGCAGGAAGAAGGCAGGACAAAGAGAGAGGGAGTGAGGGGCCTGTCTCCATTTGCATAGCCGGGCATCCTCAGAAGGCACAGCCTGGGGTGGGCAGGGCTCATCTGGGTGGCTATGCGGCTGCTCCTCTTGGTGCTGTTGGGGGAGAGAATAACCTCTAGAGTGAGACCATCCCTTAGGCAGGGAGGTGGAAATTGTCCTGAAAGTGGGGGGAGATTTTCCACAGGAAATACTGGGAGAGGTGGGAAGGCAGTCAGGCTTGGACCCTGGGGATCCTGGGAGACCCTTGCGTAGGGCCCAGGGTGGGCCTCACGCTTGTCCTGGGAGGACTGACCAGGCTCGGGTTCTCTGCTCTTACCCACTAATTCCAGACCTTCAGGAGGGTCTGTGACATCCATGTTTGACTTCTGCTCATGGTCCTGGGGGGTCCAACAGGCAAGTAGTGAAGGAAACCTGGCCAGTGGGTAGTGCTGGCTGAGACCTGGGGGCTGGGACTTTCATGAAATCTCAGAAGGGCAGTACCCACAGTGGGTCGGAGTGCGCTGGCGGGGACAGAAAGGGAGCAGCGCTCCCGCAGAATCCAGCCCAACTTGGAAGGAGGAAGCCTCACTCCCCAGGGGACACAGTGTCTCCCAGACCTTCTGTGCACTCAGCCCAGGGCCTGGTCAGGGCCAGGACACCAACCCAGCAGACCTGGGTGAGTTCTCAGGGAGCAACTGATATGGAGCCCACAGGGCAGGAAGGAGGGAAGCAGGGGACACCCAAGGTGGAGCCAGGGCGCGGGAGTGGGACTTGGCACGTCGTCATCCTTGAGACCTTGACTACTGTGCTGTGAATAATGGGGTCCCTCCCAGCAGCCCCAGAGCGCAACCCTGCGTAGCAGAGGGGAGCCTGTGAGCGCAGCGAGTCATGCCCCTCTAATCTGGGACCAACACACTTTCCTTTGGAGTTTTAAGTGTTTTCTGAAGTTGGCCCACACATTTTCTGCCCATCGTGGATTCTGTTTGTTCATAGATTCATACAGATGGGGTACCTCCAATCTTTTTTAGAAGAAAGGTGAGATATAAATAAAAACGTATTAAGTCTGTATATCCATGATCGAAAGCATACTTGAAAGTGCAACATGCTACTCAAATCCATGAAAGATTATTGTGTAACTATTGTTGAATTGAGCCTGCTCTATTTGTAATGAATTGACTGAAAGTTTCTCTGTACAAACGGTATAAGATAATAGGATCTTCAAGCTGTCAGATAAAAAAAGGCTTGTTGAAATACCTCCCTTAGCCTTTGCTTGTAAGCCACATACTTTACTTGGATAAATGGCATGAATTTGGCTTATTTTTATGAAGAGATTCATACCTGTTGATTCTGCATATTGTGACTGTTTTTCTGTCCTTTTCTGCCTTCTCTGCATCTCTGCGATTCTTTAGACCACTGTCTGTCATTACAACCCCAGGCTTAGCACAGGGACTGGGATGGAGGAGGGGCTGGAAGATGCTTGTTGAATGTTTGGTGAAAAACAAAGTGGGGAACTAAGCACATGAGTGAGTTGTGGGGCGAGGGGAGGCTGTGAGGGAGCATGACCTCCCCTCCCGGCACCTCCAGCGTCCAGGGACAGCCACAGAAACAGAAACAGAAGAGTGACTAGTGGGAGGGAGGGCACAACGCAGGCCTCTGAACACGAAGATTCTGTGTACACAGGGGGAGTGGAAACGGAGCATGTCTGTGCGTAAGGATGAGGTGCGGAGCAGCGGTGCCCTGGCTGGAGGCTGAGGGGGAGTGTGAGGGTTATGAGCGGCTTGGCGATTCTCTCCCACTCCTGCTGGCACAGGATGAGGCCACATGAGGTTTGACAACAGCAGTGGCTTTCAGCTGAAGAAAACCCTGGGTGGGCACACAGGTGTGATGGCCAGCCGAGTTCTGTGTCTGTTTTCTTTCCAGCAAACACTGTTTACCCAGCTCAGTCTGCAGGGTGCCCACAGCCCACGGGGACGTAGAAGGGGAACCCGTCCTGTGTGTCAGGCATTTCACACTTGTGGCGATGTGTGTGTAAGCTCTTACCTGGTTGTGTGGGTTCTGCTGAGTTCTGCTTCAGTGTGGAGCTCTGCGGATGTGCAGAAGGAATCAGCTCCGGTTTCTTATCAAGCAGGAAATCCCAAGTTCTCACATAAAGATGAAACTGGAAGATGGCACAACTTTTATAGCCACACTCCAATTGCCAGATCTGGGACAAAAAAAATATGTAACATAAAAATATATAGTATTTTATGTTCTTTCGGTTAAGCAGTCAGAAAAGTCCCCATGAGTGACAGAAGGTTCCTAAGAAACAAGCTATTGTATTTGGTGAAAAGGCTTCACTGATCTCCAAGTTTTGCAAACAGGAAAAAAATGTATTTATGTAGCTGTTAAGAAGAACTTAGAAATCCCAGTCTGCGAGGACAGACCCCATCGTACAGGATGACATGGCCAAGCTGACTGTGTTATTGCCTGTCTCAAAGAGTGTTAAGAGTTAGTAATGGGAACTTTCTGGTTTTAATAAAGTGGATTCTGTGCTGAGATCTTATGGGTTTGCCGGGTTTGAAGGAGGAGATGGCTGAGGAGCCTTGGCCTTGGACATTGTGGCAATCTCTTAATCTACCAGCTGGGAATTCCATTGTTGGGAACTGGCGGGGCAGCTTTGTTAAGAAGGAAGGCAGGTGGGAGAGAGCGAGCAGAAAACGGGGTATGAGAAAGTATAGTCTTCATGGTTTGCCAAATTCATGGAGAAGGCAGCAATGCAGTGAATGTGTGGATGTGAAATGGCTCTCAGTGAACCAGAGACTGCTTATTTGGATTTTTGTGAGGCTGCTGCAGGAATCCCGCTTCACTGTGGGAAGGATCCACGGATTGCTGTGAGAGCCCCCTTAGGAAGCCCACTTCACTGTGGGAAGGATCCACGGATTGCTGGGAGGCCGCTGCAGGAAGCCCGCTTCTCTGTGGGAAGGATCCGTGGATTGCTGGGAGAGCCCCGCAGGAAGCCCGCTTCTCTGTGGGAAGGATCCACAGCTGCTTCAGCACAGTCCCACCTCCAGGAATCTCATAGGATCCCTTGAGGAAAAGCCTAAAGCTGCCGCCATTAGAAATCCCCGAAAGAGCGTGGCATTGTCAGGATTCTGGGGGTGAAATGGTTGTCACGAACCACCCAAGAGAAGAACCGGCCTCTGCTTGGTTTATTCATTCTCTCCCTTCGCTT